TTGGTTGAATTCGAAAATCAAATCCAAATATTCGAAAGCTATTCTAATTTATAAAAACATTATATTTTATGTTTCATTGGAATGTTCCAGTTCCAAATCAATCAATACATATAAAAAAATTATCGAATCCCATCCTGTACATAGAAGATATCATGAAAAACTATTATTGATGATTTATATTGAAGCAATAAAACCCAGAGCAATGACAAGGTTATGTCAGTCAAAGAATTATGTCGGACATTTGTTGAAAAAAGTACTATGAAAATTATATTTATTTAACTGAAACTTCAGTTATTATATGAATATAAACTTTTTCTTTAGAAAATATGAGGAAACCTGAATCTGAAGACAACAGCTAGTAAAGAATGAAATTAACTAAGGCGGCGGAAGTGAAGGGAAATATAATTTTCAATAACAATTTGCTACTTCCTGAAATAGACAAAACAGGTTATTATCAAGCAATGGGCATTGACCCCATTTGATCTTATCTAATAGTTTTGAATAGTTATATGAAAAACTGAAATGAAAAATATAACAATTTATATATGTTAATTCTGACATTATAAGTATTAATTTAATTTTTTAAAACCATGATAAATAAAATATGGAAGCGAAACAAAAATTAGAAAAAAAAATCATATAAAGTCAGATAACTGAATTTTGTACCACAATAACTTTACACATTTCTCTTGACGTGTAAACTCACCTCATAATAGACCCTGTCAATATAGTAGGACACAAAGGGTTCCTTCCAATAAATCATAAATGCTCCGTCTGGATTCGATGTAACCCTGACTTTATAAGGCTGTAGGAAGTTTGGAACTTTGTATGTCACAGTTTCTGAGGCTTGTGAACCGGCAACGTTCGTAGATACTTTGATGTCGAATTTCGCACCGTAATTTACTTTGAAATGGTGAACGTAATCCACCCTTTTGCTGGCAGGCAAAGTGACAATGGTGTACCGGGATGAGCTCCTTTCGAATGCTGAAATCTGAAACAGAATTATTACAAATAATCACGTACAGTTCACGGGAATATCAATTTTTGAGGAGAGTGAACCATCCACATGAATTGATTTCAACAACAACAACAACGCGTCTGACTCAAAATACTTCAATCCAGCAGTAGGATCACTCAGAAATCAATCAAGTATATCACCTACAGACCGGTTTCGAGGTACTACCTTTCATCAGTGCAGGAAAGATTCGATCCAAATAGCAGTGTGCCTGTAACTCAATCGAAATCACGCAACTCGATTGGTTTTAATAATTTTAAGATTCACTATGATCTATATCTTATAAATAGTTGATAATCTTAAATCAGTTATTCAGTATAAGTTTTCAGTTGATTGAATGATAATTATAAAATTCATTCGTGTTATATTTAACCCGTGTCTTTCAAATGTGAAACATAAAATGAAAATTCAGCATATCGTGTGAGGTTGAATATGTAGATATGTTGATAGAGGCATGAATGAAAAATTTTTTCGGGAAATACTTTGCATTTTTGTGTTATTCATGTTTCATTTAATTCATGTTTTGTCCTGAGAGCCAATTATTTGGTTTCATCCTAGCCTCACAGTTTCTTGAACTTTAAATGTCACCACTTACTTCATATAGAAAACTTTTTCGTTTTTATTCATTAGATTACGAGGAACTTCATCAATGGTATTGTCGAAAAACTTCATCTATTAAACAAATGCGTTCTGTTATCGAGTAATTTGACCTGTATCGCCTAGTTGAATATCGTCCATCTCTACATACATGCAACTGACAACTTGACGATACCACAAGCGTATTACTATTATTATATACTGTAACAAACTCTTCTATTGAATCACATTCACCCTCTGGTGTGACCTAATTTACTGTTTGAGTTGAAACTGTAGAGATATTTAGGAAGTGAGTTCTCATTTAGCGATCGATCTTGAAACTTGGTTGGTTGGTTTTCAAATTTATGTCCATCCTAGTGGAAATATTGTCTTCATAACGGAAGTCGCCATGCTTAATCCTTTGATTATCATATGAATTTTTCTATCATATTTTTCATTTATGAACAAAATTTAGTTATTGATACAATTTTATTCTCACTGAAAATTCCTGATTTACAAATGATGAATTCTGAATTTAGTCCTAATGTGCGATTGGTAACATCCCTAATCGTTCAGATTCACATAATCATGTGCTTTTTGCAGCTCAGTGGAGCTCCGTTGGTTACAGGCAATTTACTTCACAGAAGAGTATATACCCGATAAGTAATGTAGTCATCTACCCCTGTATTACCATTTTACATTTGATGGAGAAATTCGTTCAACTGCTTTCAACTGTCATTACTGAAATGGTTAGTAACACCCAAGAGAAATGTACCTACATGCCTAATGTTGCGTGTAAGCGATAAAAACTGTCAGGAATGGTTTATTACATGAAATATTTTCAGTGATATTCCAAAGGGCAGTCTGAATATGTACGCACATTCTCAGTTGGTTTTTAAATTCGCTGAACTAAGGATTTCGATAATTAGATATTCGTATCTTTTTCTATTACTACATAAATTCTGCTGTTGATTTGTGGACAGTAAAAGTTAATTCCATACTCTGGGAAAAAAATTCTAAAGTTAGTTCACCCTTTCCTTAGGCAAAAAATATCAGACTTCTTGAAGATATATTGATAGAAAATGCTTATTCCATTATGAATGTTTCAAAATATATTTCCCACAATACGGAATGTTTCTGGAGAAATTTGGTTACAAGCACCTCACATGAGAAATGGATCACGATTCTGTAATGTACACCTCATTCATATCCACAAATAATCTGGGGGAACCATATCTAGCGGGCGTTTCTGAGGTACTACAGTTGCCTATCCGCCAGATTGGATAATTGTCATGCAACCAATTTTGAAATAACCTGTCATGATGGGGAGGTGCCCTATCTTGCTGAATTCGGTAGATAGACCGATGTTGTCTGTTGGATTGGTGCGATAGATCACCTGATATGACGCTCTTAGATTTTTTCAATAGATACAAGTAATCTATAGCGTACAATATACAACCGCAGCAAATTTCAGAATTAAAGTTCAGAATAATAGGTGCGCATCGAAATCACTTCACAAATATTTCATAAGGAAGGAATTCGTGAACAGACTTCAATATCGTTATTATTGGCGTGTTAGGAATCACACGTTGAAAGGTAAGACCTCGTTAATCCTTAGCTCGCACAAGTTTCAACTTCTATGGTTCATCGTTCGTATGGATTCCGACAGCTGTTTAACAGAAAAACAGATTTTAAACAGATTTTTTCAAACAGAAGTACATAATGATCATTTATTGGAATGAACTGGAGTAAGTTACGATATTGCATTTGAACTTATGATATTTACCAGTTGTTGGCAGATTCCTGGAAACAACATAAAACTGTCAATTATCCAAAAACGGATGATTTCTATTAATAAAAGCGAAAGTGCACTTTTGGTGACTAGTGGTGCCAAACTATTTTTTGTTGATTTCATATTATGATTTTTGTATGTAAACATTGTTACAGCCTCGATACTTGTCGGAAGTACTGAATAGAGGAGACTTCTTACGTCTGCACTATAAGAAATTAGTGTCCTAAAGGTATATATTTGATAAACACCGCTACTGTAGCGTTTTCCTGTAGGCTGGATAAAAAACTTCTTCCATCCCATTCTATCTGAATGAAAGTGGCAACACCGTAGGACGTAGAAATTAGAATGAAAATTGAAAAAGGACATGAAAAAGGAGGTTCAATGTAAGAGTATTTATAATTAAAAAAACGCCGAAATAATTGTATTATGTGCGAATTCAAAATAGTTAGTATTATATAAGTTTTTGGTAAACTCCATCAATTTTTAGGTTGGTTCAATATACTTCGGCTCAGACTTTCAATGTCTGCTCGGAATCTTGAAAAATATGACACATTTCTTAGAGAGTTATTTCTTGAATATTGCATTCCGAGTCAAACATTTTCACACTGACTAAGGAAAAACTATGATGTCAGTCAATTGTGTATTCCGAAAGAGTGCAGATTGGTGTATCGCACCTAAAATCACTCTTGTGAGAAGTAATATGATCTTTCAATGTTGTACTAGTTTGTCAAATGTTTTTTTCTCAAAACTAGAATAAGGGATGCAATGGAGCACATATTCTTCTAATTTCTGAAAGCTAATTCCACATAATATTCAAATTGGCTGAAAAAGATTGTAGAAAAGACTTATTGAGTTGTGATATTCAAGGATAATAATTGTCATTATTATCATTCAAATTATTGATACTATTATCATTATGAAAATTATAATTGTTAATTGAAGTTCGGATGTTGGAGAATAAAGAGTGATTTATAAATAAGAGATTTCGAATAATCTTTCTGAAGAAACAATTCTGAGAGTTCGCGTACAAAAATTAAATTCACGAAATAATTCATGAAAACTTCAGTTTTACAACATGATCATTCCAGAAGGCACATGGAATAGTGGATTTATTTTCATCATAGTGGATTATTCGAAAATAATTTCAAATTATTGGTGAAATATATTACTAAAATATTAATAACATTCACCCTGTCAGAAAAACTTTGTCTGTCTAAGACAACCACCAACCACTTTTTTAAATTACCTTCGGGAAAAGGAAGGAAGCAATCAATTTCACAATTAACTGTATACAAAGATGAGTAGGTTACGCAAAGAAGTAACTTTCAGATACAAACTGTTAGAAAAAACCCTCACGAAATAACTAATCTGATATAAACATTGAATTACACGAAAAAAAATAAAATACTTTCGAAACAACTACTTTCATATGAACATTGATCTGTAGGAAAAACATTTTTTTATATTCAGTTTGTACTACAAACATTCGTTATGGAATTAAATCACACATTACTCACAGGATCGCTCCATAATATAGTATATGAAAGAGCAAAATTTCAATTACATGGAAGACTTTCATTCCCAATGGCATACATACGATATTTCGGAATAAGGCCCTTGCCTGCTGCCTCTTCGGCACCAATCTGAATAATATTACAAGATTGAGCGCTCAATTTAATCATAAAATCACGACTACATGTCACGAATGAGAATGTTATCGATCACATTCATTCATTAAATCCCAGCCATAGAAATCTTGAATATTACTGGAGTTTTATCCCAACACCAAACTATTATTTTTAACACCTCAAAACATGTTAGACACATGAATGTAAATGAAGATATACGAATATTCATCTTTTCCGCATCCAGATGGTGCAGGAAGATTCCCTCTACCAGCTGCAGACTCAGAAACAGTACTAACACTAGACTTCCAGAAGTTTTCAAAAGGCTGAAGGTCGCGAAATATGGCATGGAACCATGTACAGTGGCAAAGACCCTATTCCAAACAATTCCTTATATATCATTGCACGAACCATTTTTTTAATTATTGAAATTTTTCCCGAGAAAACTGAATAATACAGATGAAACATTGATACATGACTGAAAGTAAGGATGGAAATGCCTAATTCGAATTCTGAGCTAAAAAATTTTACTTTTCAAAATACATCTCGATTCAATTTCTCCCTCTGAATTTCACTAATATTTTATTCATTTCCAATCTTTCAATCAGATGCAAAAGCATTTCTGTCTGAAAATGGTTTTGATTACCTCCCTCAAACGAACGGAATGCCGGATGCAGCATCTGTGTCCCAGCGAAGATATTATTTGATAATTTCCGGAGTCATTACAGAAATGTTTTCCTGGAACACGGTTTATATGAACTCGGAGAGATATTTTCAACTAATTTTATGAAGGTTGATGGTTTTGAGTTTTACGTATGAAAATAGCTCCGTGATAAAACTAGTTTCTACTCCGAAGGCTCGGCTACTGAAACTATTGGATGTTAAATTAGCTAGCAGAGAAGTTTTTCGGGTTGTGCATTGAAATAACAAATTTATTATAGGAAATTATTTTAAAAATGGGTGGACTCTTTTCCTTACAAGTAAAACAAATTTGATTGCCAGAACTGTCAAAAACAAAAAGTTGCTATTTCAAATATGCTTGCAACTTCAATCTCACTTTACTCCTTTGGAATGGTGAAGAAGTCTCAGGAACAGATGCATCAACGTGAAGGTACTAAAAAAGGTTTATCAATATGAGGGTTTTTTTTGATTACCTGAATAACATTTATACCGCCTCCGTGTTGACTATGCTGGGTTTTTGATCTAGAAAGAAATTATCCAGAACCGTTCAATCCGTTTAGAAAAACGGTGCACTTTCAAGTCGATGAGACCTTTCCAGAAAAAAGAACGCTTGTAGTTTCCTTCGGAAACTTTGACTCATCCATCTGAGTAAAACCTTCTTCAGGTGATGTAGACTGAAGTCAGAGACCAAAAGAAAATAGTTTTTGAAAGAATAAAACAGATTATATAAGAATGAATTCAAATTATATATGAATGCCTATAGAATAGGTAAAATTTAACATGTGGAATATGCCTTTCAGTTCCTAGGAGTCGTATAACAAATGAAATATTAAGTGAAATTTCATTGTTAGAATGGATTCTATAGACAGCAGTGGAGCCACAGTCATGGAGCAATATCCTTCCGAAAAAATGATATCAATGATCATTGCCTATTTCTTAAGAGGAAATGAATTGCGTGTTCGGCGATTTTCTGCTATCGAAAAAATTGGATCAAAGAATTTGCATAAAATTGTGTGTTGAAAAAAGATTCAAATACTCAAAAACACTGGAAATGTTGACAGTGGCATACGATGATAGTATTCTGAGTCAAGAATACGTTTACAAGTGGTACGAACTTTTCACAAAAAGTCGAGAAGATCTGAATGACGACGCTCGCCCTAGACGTACCAGCACATCAACAACCGATGGAAATATCGGGAAAGTGAGAAAACACTGTTATGGAAAATCGTCGAATTACTATCAGGAAAGTTGCTGAGGATTACTTATCGATTGACTCATACTAGGCATTTTTTTTAAATTTTGGGCATGAAGCGTATGATTGCGAAATTTGTTTCAAATTTGCTGAAATTTGACAAAATATATCGTCACATGACTATTGTTGATTTGTTGAATAACGTCAACCGCTATCTAGATTTCTTTGAAAGTGTCATAACTGGTGACGAATAATGGGTATATGATTGTGACATCAAAACCAAATTCTAATCGCCCCAATGGAAGATTAATAGAAGAGAACCAAGATTGAAAAAGCACGACAAATTTCATCAATTGTCAAGGTCTTGCTCACTGTTTCCTTCGATAATAGAGGCACAGTGTATCAAGAGTTCTTGACTAACGGCCAATAAGGAATATTATGTTCAAGTTATGCGTCCCTTGCGAGAAGCAATACGAAGAAAATGATCGTTATTGTGGAAAAACAATTTATTGCTTCTGCATCACGATAATTCACCTGCTCACTTGTCATTGCTTGTTTATAATTTTTGGGACAAAGTAACACCTTAATCATGTCTCAGCCACTGTATTTACCAGATTTTGTCCTCTGTGATTTTTTTTCGTTCTCAAGATTGAAGATACTCATGGAAGGACGGCGTTCCGCAACAATTGAGAAGATAAAAATCGAATCGCTGAGAGCTCAAGATCATACCAAAAGTGCACATCAGAACTGCTTCGAGGATTGAAGAAAACGCTGGTACAAAATTATTATATCTGAGAGGGACTACTTCGAGAGAAATGGAATATACATTTATGGATACACGAATATTTCTTGAGAAAAACAAACAATCAAATAGGGCAAACTGAATAAAACCATTTATAATGAGAATTTTGTGAACAGACAGACAATGTATTATCCTTGATTGATGACGTGCTGTGAATGACTGTCGGTGATGACTGTCATCAGCCGAAGAGGGTCGTAGATACTAATAATCGAAACGTCGTGAAGAAACTTGGTTTGAAAGCTTTTCTAATTTTTTCTAATTTCCATCTATCTTCAATCAATTTTTTTTTCAATCGGTGGTAATTTCAATAAGTTTAATTGCTTGATATAATAGATATTTCAACTATTCATTTTGATTTTGTTTAATCTTTCATAAATGTTGAATCCTATTAGATTCGTTTCAGAGAATGAAAGTCTGAACTAGTAAAATTCAACTAATTTTGTTTTTTTAAAGGTGGTTGACAATGTTTCGTGGTGCATTTCATTAGTTCGGACTTCCATTGTCTGATATGATATAAATTGATTTGAAAACCCTGAAAGAATCTATTAAAAATTGAAAAGATTAGCAGAAAATAACAATTATATCAAGCAAAAAAACTGAAATTGCAATGGAATAAAATACAAGCAACAAAAAAAAGAAGTAATAACGTGAGATGGAAATTATTTTTTTTTTTTTCAGTTATCACCCGAAGTTTAATTTTCTTCTTTTTCAGAATCAGTTTCAGCAAGCCCGAAAATTGACCGATATATCCTTTGATGAGCTGATCAGCGTTCTTCTTGAGCATTTAAGGCCATCTCATTGTCATATTCATTGGTTTAATCGTCGCTGTATTTCCATTATTTGACAAGTTATACGTCATAAAAGACAAGGAAATATGAAAAAAGCCTCCAATGTTCATATACAAATGCATTTTATATTGGATCAGTTATGATTACGAAATGCAATACAACTTCAAAGATCAATATATTCTGTATATGGATGTCCATTATCGTATTTCTAATTGATTGAAAGTTACACCCATCTGTTACATAAGAAATAACGAAGTTGCTGACGCGTTATCTTGAAAAGTATCAAAAATAATGGCAAAAATTGTACTTTGTTAGATATAGCTGTTTATATTTATTGGGTGTTTCATTAGGAGTTTCCTATAATTTTAATCAAATGAAGTAAGTGTGAGATATCAATTAGGTTTTTCATACATTCGAAAGATTTACTGATGCCATTATGTATGGAGCATCGTTCAAATATTCGACATGGCTTCTCTGGATGGAGCGCATACGAGAAGTCCGATTTTCCATGACTCTGGCGCATAAATCAGGCTGATTCTGACCCATGGCATGAGTTATGTTGGCTATGAGAAGCGCTGTGATTTGTGGCTTATTCGCATACATCTGCCACCCACAAGAAAAAGTCTAACGGGGTCAAATCGCACGATCTCGGTGGCCAGTTCATAACACCTCCACGTGAGATGACCATGCCCTGAAATCGCTCGTGCAAAATAAAATCGTTAGATATCAAAACAATCAAGATTTAGTAAAAAAAAAAATATTTTTTTTCAATTTTCAATGGTTAATAAAAAAGAGGAAAATCAAAATTTTGTAGTTTTTGCAACGGCGATCAATTCATCAGTCTATTGAGAGTAACTTAACGAAGTGAAAAAAAATCTAGGGTTAATTATCTGGGTTTATATGTTAACTTTCAGTTAATAAAAAACTATCAATCAACAATAAAATGATGGATTTAGCCGTTACTACGTAGTAGGAAATCATAATGAAGAAAAAAAAAATGTTTTTTACCACTTTCATTTGTAACTAACGCTACTGCAGTTTCGTCCTATATGGACATTTTCAAACTTATACAATAAAGTTCATTTTATAAGGATGTATAGCGCGTATAGGACGAAACTGCAGTTACGTTAGTTACAAATAAGAGTGGTAAAAACATAGAGAGTTCAATTTCTCTTTTCTTCATTATCAATTAACAAATGCACGAATAATGGAAAAATTTGGATGACCACTTTTCAACCGTGGATTATTGTTCATTGATTCATTTTCAAACTACATGAATTTTTTCATTCCCCAATTTTCATTATTAATATGTTCGAATAATTTTTTTATTGCTGTGTCAGTTTGGTGCACCGCGCGCGAAAGTCAGACTAGGTACATGTTTTTGGCTCTAGTTTCAAGGCTCTGTAAAAATTATAAATAATAGAGATACAGCTCCGAGAGTTGAAACTTATTTTTCAGCAAATTTGATGATTTCTTTGATTTTTTTCGTAAACTCGAAAATTTTGAATATTTTTCGAGATATTTAAAAAACCAAACCTCAATTTTCTTAACTGATCTGCTTATAACTTTTGTCATTTTTTTCAGAACCTTTTCAACCTTTCCCTTGAACTTTCTACGTGATATTACGAATCGAATGACACCTTGATTGTTATTTTTGGAGAGTTTATAAAAGTTTTGGAAGAAAATGGTACATGTGAACTAAACTAAATTATCCCACAAAACATCATCCTCTCACACCAACATGGGTTCAGACTCAAACATTCCACCCAGAACGCCATTATTGACCTGACACCTACATCACCCAACACNACTCCGAATCGAATAAACCCTTGCCTATATTTTTAGGAGCTTCATCTCTATTTTTCACGTTTTTAAACTTGTTAATTTTCTCATAGCCTAGGTGAATCGCTTCATCTCTGCCTTATTTCGGTCGTCAGTATTCACATAACGGACGTGCATGTATTCACATTTTTCGACTACTAAAAACAAAGGCAGATTGTCGATATCAAATCCCCAGAGGTCTTTGTTAACCTTCGAAACCGGCAGTACACAAACTTACGACGTATCCGATGGGTTGTCCAATATTTGCACAGGACGCCGACCATTTCAGTAGCAAACACGGAGGATCTCTTGGCTCAAAATCAACCTGTAAGTCTTGCGGGGGAGCTTTTCTATCCAAGAGGGTGACGACGCTCATGATGTTGTTAGGATTGATTTCGTTTCCATTATTTGCTACGCTCACTGCGAAGTTGTACTTTGTGCAGAAATCCAGGTCTTCGATAACCGCGGTTTCGTTCGTCGTTGACAGTTTCGGATCTGCAAAGAGAGGTCTTACATTTGATGGTGATCAAAATAAAACTTCTGGGCATGATTTGGAAAGAATATACCGTTAACTTTGAAAGGTCTAGAGTTTATCCAACATCTACAATATGGTGATAATGAAAGAAATACATTCAATATACCTATTGTCTGAATTTGACTACAGGGAAAAATTGTAAGACCTGTAGATTTACAATTCCGATTGCACATTCTATTAAGTTTTTCTTTCATTTTTGATATCATTTATATAAGCGCCATTACTCAATCGATGATTTTTTTGAACGGAAACGTGGATAATGCGGTGCATCATTTGAAAAGTCTTTGATTCTCTATTTAGCCATATCAATATTTTTGAATATTGTATTGAATAATTGAATACCAATTTTCAGCTCTCTTTGAAAACTGATAACAATACTGTCACAGGAAATGATCTGATAGATTTTTGCAGGTTTCTTGTTCGACTTTTGATTTGATCATTTGAATGTAGTGTTCATCGAGAACACTACAATCAAATTAAACGTATTTGCCTTATCATATGATAATGATATCAATTCTGTTACATCGCAGTCAAGTTGTGACATTATTTACTTTCAGTTTTTTTAGGATAAAACTTGGATAGAAGGATACAAATGAAGGTTTGGGCGTAAATCAACGATGAATATTGCGAATGAAAACACAATCTATCGTGAGCAAAATAGGAAACCGAGCCATGTGAGAGACCTTCCAAATGGTAATAGAAAACTAGTAGTAGATACGGAAAATTAGATGTTCTGCTAGCGTTTGAAGAATATTTCCATACTCGCTCATAATATTGGTATCAATATTAGACTAAGAAAAATCCTCATTGGATGCAGGACTGTCATATTCGATATGGGCGAAAATAATAGATATGGGCGGAAGTAGTATTCATGGAATGGGTGAAAAAAATACATGATGGAATTATGGNACTTCAATACTATAAAAAGCATATATTTTCGAGGTATCAAATCACGCCTCACAAATTCAGCTTGGGTTTGCAAAGTCTGTTCGGTGGATGAGTCCGTTCGGTAGATTGTGGTGGAAAATGTGACGTTGGATGTTGATTTATTGTCCGGAAAATATAAATCAAACACTTTGTTTACTAGCGCACGATAATAATATAATAATTGAGTTCAATACACAAGCCTGAATTTGTCCTCATTTGTCAACTGAATTCTTTTCAGTTGAAAAACATGTATCCTTAGAGTAAATTCATTTTCTTTACGCTCCATCAATACGTATTCAGGGTTGCCGAATATGAACCACACCAACTATCATTCACTGAAAGATTTACTTTTCTGAATGCTTTTAAAAAAATGCGAATGCAGGTTACAATTGACAAACCTGAAATGTATGATATGATTCGTGACATATATTTATTTGAAGAATAGAACAACATGTCTATATAATACTCTATGGTATGAAAGATAATTTACGGCAGAAAGGAAGTCAGCATATATGCATCCTTGTAGATGTTGGAGTTACAATTTGTATAGCTGCAGGCTGCAGAGTGGGAGCGTAACTAATTGATTGGGCTTTGTTTCGCATTTTGCTGATATTGATATTGCACTATGGGTACGTTGTTCCATGATACTGATGAATGATTTTATATTTGAACGACTGTTGTCTCAAAACCCAGTATTCAATTCAAGCTGTTGGTATTCAATCTGACTAAAATATGGCATCATAGATGTTAATTTCGGTGGATTCAACTGCCGTATTGCCGGATAAACACTTCGATACTTGCTGTCTCAGTATTATCAGAGGATTCCTAAAGGGTTCGATTTGGTGTTTCTGAATGAAATCCTTCCAAAAATCGAAGTAGTCTGGAAAGACGAAAAATGCTTCGTTGAAGTAGTTACCTGAATTTCTTTAACATCATTATCATCTTCTCCATTATACCTTCTGATTCATTATAGGCAAATTCTCATATCTGGATAGCTACCAGATGCAATAATTCGTTCCTTTCCTCGACTTTGTCCTATAAGTTTCCGAATTTCAGATATGATCGCAATTATCGAACCCCGCTGCCTGTCGAATCGTGCGCGAGAGTCAGTATCCAACAAGACTCCTGCTGTTAACATTGATGTTATTGTACGGAGGTAGATAAAGGTTTGCTATCGGCAATTGTATTGATTCAGGTTAGTTTTAGGTAGTATTAAGTTTATACGTTTACTGTAATATTTCTGGCCTTTGTTAATTCGTACATATCAATTATATTACAGTTGTTTCCTACATCATGCAAGCGTTGATTCGTAACCTAACCTTCACTCCATTTGAGTTCCATGAATAGTGGCTTACAAATCAATACAATGGATAGTAAAGCAAAGTTTTATTTTGTCTCGGAGGCGGGTGCAGATTCTAAAATCCAACAAGACTCCGAGCTGTTAACATTGATGTTATTGTACGGAGGTAGATAAAGGTTTGCTATCGGTAATTGTATTGATTCAGGTTAGTTTTAGGAAGTATTAAGTTTATACGTTTACTGTAATATTTCTGCCCTTTGCTAATTTGTACATATCAATTATATTACAGTTGTTTACTACATCATGCAAGCGTTGATTCGTAACCTAACCTTCACTCCTTTTAAGTTCCATGAATAGTGGCTTACAAATCAATACAATGGATAGTAAGCAAAGTTTTATTTTGTCTCGGAGGCGGGTGCAGATTCTAAAAGCACTGTAGTTAAAGTGAAAAGAATTCAGCTGCTTGATCAAGAGGAATGTTTTTTGTTTCCAGCAGATAAGCAGACTAGTGCTCAACATAAACAACTTTTTGAAAATCCTATTGTGAAAAACGTCGTCGAAAGATTGAAAGTTCGCAATAAATTTCGCAACGTTGTCCTGACTTTATCTGAGGAACTCAAGAATATTTATCTGGATACAGAAGGTAATGTTGTGTTATATGACGAATATTTGGAAGAGGTTACTTCAGAGCAAGAGTCAAATGTAAACAGAGAGTCAATATTAACATTCGAAAGAAAAACAAGCTCTTTGATAAAGGATATAGTGATTGAAAAGTTCAATAGTGAAAATATGAATGCAAGTGCTTGGATTAATTTATTTGTGCAGGAGTGTAACAGAGTGGGGATTGCCCAAAATAAATATGCTGAAGTATTAAGATTGTTTTTAGAGAAATCTGCATTAGATTGGAATAATGTATTTCTAAAGCAGAACTATTTGCTAAATTGGGAGGCATGGAATAACGCCTTCATTGACACCTTCTCTGCATAGTCCTGGACAGATATCACGTATGCTTATAACTTTAAGTTTTATAATGGCTCGCTATTAGAATATGCGTTGAAGAAAAGACGAATATTATTAGAAGCGGATAATAGTTTGTCCATGAACACACAAATTAATATCAATTATACAACAGTTGTTTACTACATCATGCAAGCGTTGATTCGTAACCTAACCTTCACTCCTTTTAAGTTAAATGAATAGTGAATAGTTAGCTCCCAAACTATATTATTAAAGGGGAACTGTTGGAAGGTAGGTTTACTATATCGTTTACTTGAACCATACCACTATTCTGTGTTAGAAATGACACGTTAAAAGGTAAGACCACACATACAGAGGTGGTACAGTAATGCTATGGGGCGGAATCATGATCGGCGGCAGAA